CCGTAGCATTTCAATAAAAAAGCCCTAATTGGTCCTAGGGAATGTTTTTTCTGCCTCCCTTGCCAGAACAGTGTGAGCAAGTATGTTAGCAAGATCCTCTGGGGAGAGGCGCTGTCATGTTCTTCTTCAGCAGATACGTAGATGCCTATTTTTGCTGTGGTTGTCATTTGAAGCCATGTACCAGCTGCAATTTTTTTTATATCTGTATCTGTTTCTAAATGGGATTAAGAAACTCCAAGACTTTAGTGTTATTTTAATGGATTCTCCCAAAGGAATTTCCTGGACCGTCAAACTATACCCCTGCCCAATGGGAGCTGGAGCATTGTGGAGAAAAAGAAATTTTCTGGTTATTGTTCCCAGACAGTGATTTTTGTCCCCGTTATTTACGGACAATGGGTCTAGCAAGTGTAGTGCTGTCGGTCTGCGTAATTTAAACAATCTCAAGTCATTACTCTCGTGTGGTATTGAAGTAGGCTGCTCTTACAGCATAAATACATTGCAGTGATGCACCAAGGAGCTTCACTGCGAAACGAAAGCGTGTCAGCCCTTGTAATCATTCTCTAATATATTTAGATTGAGGGGTTGAACCGTAAGCTATAATCAGTGGTAAACAAGATAAGACTATCGCTCTAATCTATTTTAGAAAGCTAGGACAATGCCTGGATCGCCTGTTGTCACCATGCAGCCTGCCCTGTTTTTACCGTTCTCTGCAATACAATCACTTTACTCAGAGCAGAGCAGGGCAATGCAGAGGTGTGTAGTAGTGTTGGTGTAGGTAATGCTCTTCTCAGTGTTCTTCTGAGTCATATTGCAAAATACCTGGACAACACAATAATATTACATTTTCTGATTGCCAGAACAGGTCTTCTGCTGGGGTCAAGCCCAGCACCACAAAAGTTGTCTCAGTTCAGCTTCTGTGGAGGATGGCGGTGCCCTTTGAGCTTCAGCTATGCCTTGCAGTGCTTTAAGGGAGTAGATGCAAAGGGTTTCTGGACATGGACGCAGCCTGTGTGTCCTCCTGCCCCAGCGTGAGCCCTTGCCCTGCAACCACTGGGAAACCGCGTGGTTGTTTTCAGCCAGGTGTTCAGAGATCAGGATAAGTTCAAGCATTCGGCCTTGTGCAAGTTTCAACCTGAGAGGCAATAGCCTCCTTTCTCCTTGTTCTCCTTACACATGCCTCTTAGGAGTTGACCGGTAGACACCCAGTGCTCTGTGGACCACAGGTTTTAAACTGTTTTCTTCTGTAGCTGCAAACTTCATTGCTGCATGTTAACCTATTGAATATTGAAGCTATGAACACAGATACACCTTGGAGAGGTTCAGGTGTGGCCTGCAGAAAACTATTAAACCCAAATCATCTTGTAAACACAGCATAACTGAGGCTTGGTGAAGAGCTTTCGGTGATTGGGAGAAGTGTGATCAGGAGCTCCTGAGGCTGACAACTGGCCAGTCAGACTAGGATGGGAATGCCGCTAATCTTCCTTGCAGAAATCCTTGCCCTGACAGGAGCAGATTTGGGAAACATGGGATGTGTGCAGACTTCAGCACTATCACCCTGTTGTTCACAAAGTGAACGCTCAACTCCTGCAGCTCTTCTGCGCCTCCCAGATCGGGGGGTTCTGTTGTCAGCAGTGATAATTCCTCTTCTGAGCTAAGAGATTAATTTAGTCACCTGGTCCCATTGAGCTGTGCCAGGATGATTTGCTGTGCCTGGGCTTTGCAAGGATGATGTCTGTGCCGGGAGCCAAGAGGCTTCCTCGGTGGGAAAGGGGATGGAAAACCTGAGGCTGATCCACCTGGCTGGAAGGCTTGGTGTTTACAGCCGTTCTTGTGCTGTTGTGAAGGGCAGATGATAAATGGGGTGAGACCAGCCTCATGCTGGAGTGACATTCATGGGAATTATTCATCCTGTGAGGTCATGTGTTGTGTCCCATGCTATGTCGCTGTGCCAAGAGATTTATTTTAATAGAAGCCTTTAAGTAACTGGCGTTCTTGCTAATCATGGTGCATCTGCTTCTCTGGGTTCCCTGTTATGAGTAATTTAATGCTATTACTTTAGCTGGAAGGGATCTGTGTCACCATCTGTCCTGGAAAGCTATTGATGGGGCTGTGCAGAACATCCAGTGTCATTGGCGGGGGAGAGGGAGTTCTAAAGGGATGACTGGATTTCCCGTTGTAATACAATATAAGACGGTTTACTGTGATTACAGCTTAGATAACTTGTATATAAAGGCTGTTAGCTATGCTCTGATTTCATTGAGGACCATTCCTCAGATATTTGTGGAGGGAGAAGATGATGTTATCAGCTAGTTCCAGATAATAGCATGGCTGAGGTGCTAGAGAAAAGCTCCCTTTTGTAGGGTCATGGCTCTGCAAAGCTGAAACCTGAAAGAGTGACCCTAAAATCTCTGCACATCTGCCACCCCTGGCAATCAGACACCCTTAGAGAGGACTTCTCAAGCCAAATGTTTTCCTAATCAACGACTAGTTTTTAATTGTTGTTTACAGACCGCTTCCCTGGCACGAGCCCCCTCCGCGCTCCAGCTGAGCCACCGGAGACGTGGAGAGGTTGCACAGTTGAAAAGCAGTTTGCTCCTCACTTCCCTAAGTGCTAGGGCCACCTACATGCAGAGTGTCATTAGGTTGCACAGCACCACTAATGTGCAGAGTGTCAGCCTGGCCTGCCAAGGCCTGCCAGGCTTGCTGAGGTAGTCTTTTTATTTTTTTTTTTTTTGAGAAAATGTATTTACTTTTTATTTTTATGACAAGTTCACCCTCTAACGTGATGGGTTGAGCCCTTCCTGACCCTCGCACGGCTGCGCTGCCATCTCTGCAGGTACTGGGCAAGTGTGAGGGTGGTCGGGGCTAAAAATGGCTAAGAAAATGGCCTAAGAAAAAGCAGATCCGTGGGCTTTGGGGTCCAGTGCAGGGAGCAGGGATGCTTCATGTCCTTACATGGGCCGTGTTAACCAGGCCATGGATCATAACAGGTCCGATTTGTGGAGAGATCGTAGCACAGAGACCAACCTTGAGTGCCGGCCCTGCAGCTTTGCAGGTGGGTCAAATTGGGGAAAAACTCCTGCTTCCCAGAGAGCTCAGGGAAGATGAGCCAGAAGATGCTGTTGGCTTGTATCTAGGAAAGGAAACGCATGGAACTGTTTCCAGGGAGAAGCCTAGAGGGATTTTTCCTCCTGTTTCAGGTCATGGCTCTAAAAGCAGGTTAAATCTTCAAGATTTTGCTTTCCTGATGCAAGACGAGCGTTTGTAAATCAGTGGCTGCTGTGTGTTCTGGCCAGGCTTGGCACAGTCCTAGGAGATGCTGAGACCACTCATCCCTAGGGATTTCTCTGGATGCTGAAGGACTCCTAACTGTGTTTGGTTCAGAACCAGGGCTGTTAGACCCGGAGTCGCTGGTGATCATGCGATGTAGGAGGGTAGTTGGAAATCCAGCTGCTCTCCAGTCCTGCATGTGGTCATTTGGCCCAAAGTGAATCCATATTTCCTTATAATTCCCCTGCACTCCTGCCATATAATAAAACTCTGATTTTTTGTAATTTGTTTCCAGATGTTGGGCTGTTTTTCTGTCTGACCCATTTGCTCTGCCTGCTGGTCTGCTGCCTTTTCAGAGACCTTTGAATTAACCAGATTTTGGGGTCATCAAGATTATTTAGTGTTATTGTCATAAATATTTGTACAAGACTTGGCCAGCGTTTATACAAGAGCTGAAAGACAGTAATTTTTTTGAAGAGGTTGTGTGTTTAAATGAATTGCCAGTTGAATGTTTGGTATAAACTTTAGAAAAAGTGCTTCTCTTGCTGTAGCATTGCAATTTATGGAGTGGGAGAAGAACTGAATATTTAGATTTGTCAGTTGTTTAGATTTTCCAGTTACTGCTGTTTAAACTTAAAATCACTTGAGAGTTATTTAGAAGTAAATATCCCGCTTTTTAAATAGTTGTGTTGCTTATCGTCCTGCCCCCAGAAGAAGAGCTGATTTCTTGCATCATATTAATCACTTTGTGTTAAACCACATTTTCCTTGGTGTTGTTTGTATGGAAAAAACAGAGTTGTTGTTGCGTTACTTTTTGCAGTTGATTCTTGCAGTAGTTTCCAATGTGTTCTTAATTGCCACGGTATTGTCCTCTCAAACACGACGAGTACATTGAAAATACCAAGAATATGAATCTGTTGTTTGGAAATAATGACTGTTACTGTATTGTATCTGCTGAAACGTGTTAGAAATGAATAAAAACGAATCAATGAATATTTGGATTGTCTCTAGCTTTTAGAAGCAGAATTTTGGGGTGATTTTTATTTTTTTTGGAAGGAATTTTTGCTGGTCTTTTCCATGAGGGCCAATACTGCAAATAAGCCAAAATATGGAGGCTGCCAGAGAGTGCTGTGTGCAGTCTGGCAAACTTGGGCTATTTCTTCTAAATGTCTTAATTAGCAGAGCGGAGTCTTCAATCTGTTCTCGGAGAGTTGCTGCCTGGCCAGACCACGAGCAGCAGACCCCCAAATCCTGTGATTTTAGGTCACAGGACACAATCTTTAGGACTGTGGGTGTTGCACTGAGCCTGCACTTGATTCTTCGTGCTCATCTTATACCACAAGGATGTACCAAGGGTGACAAACTCCCCTTGGCTGTGACAGCCACTGCCGTGGCAGCCTCTTGTGCTGTTGTGGTGTTCAGAGCCTGCATAGCCTGTGATGGGAGCGGGAATTGAGGTGTTATTGGGCCTCTGTTTTAAACCATCTCTTAGTTTTAGAGGTGTTGAGAGGTTCAGATTAGCTGCTAAGTCTCTCCCAGTTCTTCTCTCTAGCTTTGGTGATCGTAGTGCCCTGGTGATGGTGCTGCTCCAGTTCTGCACAGCACTGGTGATTGTGTAAAATTATGCTCAACAGAAGTCCTGGAAACCATCTCCATGTCCCATACTCCAATATCTAGGTATTTACCGTGCATTGGAAGCAATAACTGTGGTGATATGTCTTGCCTTTCAGAAAAAGAGCAGAGAGGAGACATGTGGGGAAGGCAGTGGAGTGGAGATCCTGGAGAACAGGCCCTACATGGACGGCCCCGGAGGCAACGGGCAGTACACGCACAAAGTTTACCACATTGGTATGCACATACCCAGCTGGTTTCGGTCCATACTGCCCAAGGCAGCGCTGCGAGTTGAGGAGGAATCTTGGAACGCGTATCCTTACACGAGGACAAGGTAACGCTTGTCGCAACATCCCGAAACGTTCCTCTGCTTTAGAGGCTTTGGTGTCACTTTGTGCAACAGTGACGTCTTTTACATCTTCAGTATCATCCTTTAGAGCAATTGTGGGGTCAAGTCCTAAAATTCCTACCAGTGTTCAAATCCCAGGAGTGTGAGCGTTGCCTGAGCTGCCTGTGCAAGTACTTCAGAGGGGTGGCTGGTTGCTCTGAGATGTGAGCTGTTTTGCTGATCAGAGCGTGGGAAATCTCAAATAGTTTTCTGTTTAGTCTTGTATCCTGCACTGCATGTTCTACTTAATGTTGCAGGTATCTAGCAGCTTGATGAAACTGGATTTAAATGTGCGTGGTGATGGGAAGGTTGTCAAGTTGAACATTGTCAAGTAAAGATTCGTTGCTCTAGAGAAAGTATGGGGTGAAAGAAACCTTAAAAGAATGTAAAATGTGGAAAGTTTTCTCATGTTTTCTGGTTTGTTCTGGGGGTTTTCTAACTAGCATTTAGCTGGAAAATAACAAACCTGCAGCCTTTACACTGAAAAGGAGAGAGTTCCTTGGAGCCCTCTGGGACCTCCTTGTTTCAGCTGATCTCGTCTGGGAGGGCTTCAGATATCTTGGAATAAAGTCTGGGATCTCACTCCATGCCCATTACTTCGGTTTAGAGCATTTGCTTTATTCCAGGCTTACCAGGCTGATGTTACTGTCATCTTTCATAACAAAAAGGCTGTAATGAAAGTGCTGATTTCCTCAGAAATCTAGAAAAGTTTCAGAGTTTTGTTTTTGCTGGCCTCTGCTTATGCTGTTAGTTTGGGGAAGGGCAGAAAGCGCGTGACTGCACAAGCGGTTGCTCACAACTGTAAGTAACGGAGCTGTCCAATTTTCATGTGATCCAAGCCAATTTCTGTCTGGTTTTTTAGTCCTCTTGAAATGCCCAGTAAGCTGGGCAGGAAATCCAGCTCTGCCTAGAATCAGTCTGGGCTCTTTCATTTCCACAAATTCTTGGCGAGAGCTCAGGTTTCTCCTGCCTGAGGTGCATTCCCAGAGCATCCCCATGTTCATACCTGTGTCCTATCTTACTAGGACTTAACTTGCTAATGTAGCAGACCTGAATGCCATCTCCTTGCTGAAAACCGCTGCTCTAAAAGCGGCGTGTCCTCGTAGTCATCTCCTGGAGGAGATGCTGTCAAACCGAGTTGCTGTTTTTTTGTCAGTGTCTCTGCAAATTGAGACCATTTGCTTTTCCCCTCGGGCTTTCTCCTGCCAGCGCTTGCTGTTGCCAGCTGAGAAGCTGTTTCTGGGCCTGCGTGGATGCCCTGTGCCCAGGAGCTGCATGGGGTGCATTGGCTCCATCTCTCCTGCGATCCGTGTGACGCCCCGTGGGGAACAGGCTCCTTTATTGCTCTGTGCTTGGGGTTTTATAAAGCAGAGCCACTGCGCCAAAGCCACACGTCCGAGAAAAGCTCCTGCCTTAAGAAGTTATTACAGAAATGTTGGCTTCTTTTTGTAATCCATATAGGTGGTATTTTCAATCTCTCTGAAGTAAAACATGAGTAAAGGCTGGCTTGGATTTGAGGCTGGTTTTAGACCTCCTAGGCGGTGTTTTCTGTGCTTGGGGAGCCAGCAGGATTTACTCTAAGCTGCACTGTTCTCTCTTTCAGGTATACGTGTCCTTTTGTGGAGAAATTCTCTATTGATATCGAGACCTACTACAAAACTGACCCAGGAGAACACACCAATGTGTTCAATCTTTCTCCTGCGGAGAAAAGACAGACCATTCTCGGTGAATAGCCTCTTTCCTTTAGCTTGTTTTCCTTTATTCTGCTTTTGGTTTGCTGTGTAAAAGATTTTTCCTGGCGTGTCCCATGACTTCCCCCCACCATTAGTGGACAGAGGTCCATGAACCTTAAATACTTCAGGATTAAACAGGGGGGAGAGGCAAAAGAGAACATCTTGTAAGAGGGCAGAAATGGCCCATGTCATGGCAGCTTCTGGCCTTGCTGTCCCTCGTGGCCCATGCGGTGGCATTTGCAGGAGTGCTGACAATTATCATCCCACCGAATTAAAGCATCTCTTGCTCGTGGAGCTGCTGGGACTCGGCTATTCCCGGAGCTCCGTCCGTAGCGCGGAGCGCGTGCGTGGGGCCTGCGGAAGGACACCTAGCGGCTGCACTGCCCCTTGGGCTCTGCTGCCTGACACAGGATGCGCGATGCAATTTACTTGACTTAAACCTCTTTATTTTGAACCCCAGTTGGTTTTTGTCCCCATTGCTGTGTGTGTCTGATCAGGCTCCCCATCCTGAACCCTCTCGCCTTTAACGAGGCTGGAGTCAGGCTGCCTAAGAGCTGCCCTCTCATGGGCAGTGAGATCCTGCCCCTCGGTGCAGACCCTGGATGTTTCCGCTGAGGCTTGCGGGCGGGTTGCAGGTCTTTCAAATGTCTTCATTCACTCTGCTCCTTTGCGTTCTCCACTCCTACATGGGCAATTGTTGTTAATGAGGACAACTTGGAGTTTATACTAAAGAGGGTAGCAAATACAACAGTGCAACAGCAGCAGTAAGCTCCCCTGATGTGCTCCAAAGATAAGGAGTTCAGCGGGTAGCATCTTTTCCATTACAGCACTGCAAAAAGCAGATGTGCTTTAACTGTCTCAGATGAGGCAGAGCTGTAAGCACTGGGAGTGAGAGCAGAAAAGCCGAAAGATGGGGTGTGCAAAAGACGTTTATGGAGCTGGGAATCTGGGTGCTGTGGACCTGCTGTCACTGTGGGCAAAATGATCTGTTTGAAGCAAAGCATCTTTTTTCTGGAGCTGTGTGACTAAATTCCCCTGGCAGAGCTGATCACTGCCCAGGAGCAATAGATAAACAATCTCAATATCAGTTGTTTAACTGTAAGCAGAAAGAAACTAAATTGCTGCAATGTTTCTAGTACTTACTAAAATGGCATCAACTTCTGAAAAATGATATTTTCTTCCTCTGTTCAAGTAAAGGGAGTATTTAACTATTTCTCTTCTCTTTTTGTAGATCCTATTGATATTGTTAAAGATCCTATCCCTCCACATGAATACAAAGCTGAGGAGGATCCCAAACTGTATAAATCAGTGAAGACTAAAAGAGGACCCCTCTCCGAAGACTGGATTGAAGAATACAAGAACAACCCTGGGAAATACCCAATCATGTGTGCATATAAACTTTGTAAAGTCGAGTTCAGATACTGGGGAATGCAGTCCAAAATCGAGCGGTTTATCCATGATGTTGGTGAGCATTTGTAGTCTTGCAAGGTTCACTGTCAACTGCTTAATATTGGTTCTGAATTGAAACTCGCAGGTGAGGTACGCGCGACGTAACGCATCACAGGACGTGTCTGCAAGGAGATTTGTGGGCCAGGCTGCCCTGCTACATACAGAAAAAGTCATGTTGTTCTCTCATTTGTAATCTCAGTATGTGGGAGTCCGGATCATGTGCAGGCCATGTAGAAATAGATGCAGGTCCTGTAGGCAAAAGGCAGGCAAAATCTTGCCTTTTTTTTAGGTAAGGATTTGTCTGTTTAATATTTATCCAGTTATTTTTCAAAATCTGCCACTTATTTTTGGACAAAATCCTCAAGGGCTGCCTAAAGAAATGAGCTGCATCTACAGTCCTCCTTGTGCAGGGTTCAGGAGTGGGCTCTGTGGAACCCTGTGTCGCAGGGGGTGGGTGCTCCCATGCACACACACATATCCCTGCCCTCCCCGTTGTTCTGTCCGTGGCTCCTAACCCCGCTGTGCTCATAACCCGCCGTGGTGAGTGAACACTTTGATGGATGCATCGCTCTTAGGTCAAGTGCTTTTAAGGAGGTGACTGCTGTTTGTGTCCCAGGAGTAACTAAGTGGAGACCGCGTGAGTCGGAGCAGTGGGAGCAGCGCCGGCAGTAATTTGTTCTTTGCAGAAAATCTATAACACAACTGCTGTAGTTTCAGTGAGCCTTGCCACTGGAGACGGGATCTGTGGCCAAGTGGAAAACTTAAGGAATGTTTCTTTGAATGGTTTCCATCTTAAAAAATGGTTTTCTGTGGACACAAACATGATGAAGAAGGTGCCAGCTTGTCGTATGCGTGAAGGATGCTGGCTAGTTTCTGTACACAGTGAATTCCCCTGTGTCAGTTCTACAGCTCTCCTTTTCTCCATGCAAAGCTGCTTTGCAGCGCTTGGTGTTAGAGGAAGTAAATGGTCTTATAGCTCCTTTCAGTCATACCGTGCTCCTGAGAGCTAATGTGGAAACCACTGATAGAGCAGTGGAGCAAGGCATACCCCGTTCTCTGAAGAGTCCCAGGTTGCTCTCTTGGAGCTCCTTTGGTTTTACTTTGCCTGCAGATGGGGGTTTTTACCTGTTACAGACTCTGTAACAAGTGGCTGTCTGCAGTGAGCTCCCTCGGTGTTTCGGTGACGTGGGTTAACTCAGTGTATACTGCAAAACATGGGGGCAGAATAACAACTCTGTTGTAGCTGCTAAATTAAAAAGGAAACATGTGACTCTTCCAGTTGTTCGGAGGTGTTTGGCATAGATTAAACTGTGGTCCCTTAGAAATGCTGCTTTTGTATTTCATAAAAGATTGCCTGCCATTTTCCTCTTGATTGAGGCTTTGTGGAGAACCAACCAGTTCATTGTCTGCCTTTCAAAAGCTTTTCCACTCTGTTATAATGATGGCAAATAATGTCTTTCAATGTGGTTAAGATGCATAAAATCAGAAAAGTCTTCAAGGAGAGACAAAGTGGAATGACTGAAGAGTGAAAGCAAAAACTGCAGGTACCCACAGAAGGTGCGTAGCCTTTACCTTGCAACACAGTGGCTGTGGACAAGCAACAACTGGGTGGAAAAATACCAGAGCCAAAGCACGAAAGACAACTGGGTATGAGGATGTTGAGGTTAGATATGTGCTACCACACAAGCTTGTAGACTGTCCCCTGCTTTGTGCCTTGCAAAACGAGGTGGTGGGCACAGGTGCCACATGTGTCCCAGTCTCCCAGCCCCTCCTGGGCGCTTCTGCCCTCGTTCCTCTGTGCCCAGCCTTGGCAAAGCTGCTTCTTGGGGAATGGGCTCTCCATGTGCAGGGCCCTCGAGACAGCAAGAAAAAAAAGGCACGATGAGCAGCATCCAAACTAGGGGGGAGCTGGCCTTTGCTGGGGCATGGGTTGGAGATGTGCTTCAAAGAAAAAAACTTGCGAATTAAGTGACGGATGGGTTGTAATATGTGGAAGGGCTACTGAGTGTGGAGGGAGTAACTCTGGGGGATGGTGTTGAAAGGTTCTCTCTCTCTTGCTGAGTGTAAGAGCCATTTTTTTCTGATGACTAATTGGACAGTTACTCAGTGCTTTGACAGCCTGAGACACAGACTGAAATTGTGGGCTATTAGTCTACTTGGCTGTAATATTTGTGTGCTTTTTTACTCCTTTTCCATAGAATTTAAGTTTAATTGGACTGGCGCTGCATAATGTTCTGCTCCCACTCACTTCCTAATGCTGCGCATGGGCTATGACTCTTTTGTTGCTAAACAAATGTGTTGACTGTGTACGGGGCACTGATTATACCCTGCGACAACGGGCGTTCCCGTCCCGATAGCCAGCACTCAGCCTGAGCCAATGCCCAAATTGTTGCTCAGGGTCGATGGAATCACTTTGGAAAGTTCTTTTGCCTCAACTTTTGCTTCACTTAAGCACCTTAATGAGCAAGTTCATCCATTTGGCGCTGTCCCTTGGGGTCTGAACGTGCAGTCTTGGCTTTTCCAGCCCGCAGGTAGCACGATGTGGCTGTGACACAGGCTTCACGTCGCGAGTGGTCTGAGCAAGAGGAAGGAGCGGGCAGCCAGCGGACATACCTGCAGGCTACGTTTGGGCAGATGCCTTCAGCCCAGGAGGGCTGTAGTAATGAGGTGGGATCTGCTGTGACTGTCAAGGAAATAGTGTCACACCGGGAAAATCAGACGTCCTTTGCCCGCTGCCAGGCAATTGCATGTTATAATCTGCTTCTGGGTATATAAAGCAACTTTTTGGCTACCCATAGATTATGCGGAGTTGACTGAGGTTTGGGGCTTCGTTCTTTTTTGTGCGTGCGTTGAGTTTCTGCCAGAGTTACTATTTTAATTTAAAACCAAAAGACCGACCCAGAAGGGTAGACAAAAGCTTTTCGAATTTACTCGAGAGCCCTCCCGGCCCCAGCTTGTCTCGTGCCCCTCTGTGCAGGCAGAGCCGTCGCCCGGGTCGGTGCTCGGGGCCGAACGCGGCCGTGGTGCGGAGCCACGAGGTGACTGATTTCAGTGTTTGTGCCCTGCTAGACTCCTTGTGGACGAGTTTTCCGCAGAGCACAGCAGGAAACACTGTAATTAAATCAACGCAAAGACCTCACGCGCGTGGAGCTTCTCTGCTCTCTAAACCAAGGCATTGCGCGTGCTAGAGAAGTAATAAAATCTTGTTCGCTGCTGTTATTACTGAAATCAGCTGGCGCCTGCCTCCTTAGAAAAATCCCGCTCCTGTGCCCCTTCCTGGGACAGTTAGGGCAAGAGGAACGCTTCCTTGGCTTCCGATGCGATGGGAGTTCTGTCCTCACTTCGAAGCTCTGCGGGATGTCAATCATGATGGGAGGTGAAGAGGCTAAAACATTCTCTGGCGGTTCTGCAAAAACAGTAATCAGGAGGGGGAAATAGTGAAATACATGAAAAATGGATAAATTTAATCTTACTGTGCAAGCGAAGTTCAGGTTGAGCTGATTCATCGTGTTGGCTGCTGGTCCCAATACTCGTTTTCCTCCGCATAGGATGATATTTTGTGGCGGGTGATGCATGGATTGTGGTATTAGGGACTAACCGAGGTGCAGAACAGCAGATAAATGGCCTGGAAAGAGAAAAAATATATATACACACACACACACGTACAGTACCACACCTGCCAGCATTGCAGTGCAGGATGTTTCTGCTGCAAGCTTCTTGTGACTCCATAATCCCAATGACACTAATTCTCACTGCTGCTTTTGGCATGTCCTTCAACCCATCCCTGCCTCAGTTTCCCCAGAGTTACTGGGGGAGCCATAGCCTTTGATTTTTCCATAAGGGCTCCTGAGGATTTGCTTGTCGATATTTATAGAAGCTTTTAAAAGAGCCATTAATGCTCCGTGCTCCTATCAGTAATAAATACCTGCTTGGAGCTTTGACCTGCCATGAGCTTTTCAGCAGTAATATTGGCTGGAAATTGTGAGTGATTATCCTGTTTTAAAGTCTTAGTGGTATGACGATGGTAGCCAACACTTTTAACTCTTGGAAGAAAGTTTCTTTTGCCTGGTCACAAGCATTGTGTGTGTTGATGATTATTCTTTTCAGGGATGTGATATCTTGAAATTGTATTTTAAATTGGTTTTATGGCCTTCATTTTTCTCATGCAGCAGCAGAAAGGGACCGTATCTCTAAAATAAAGTGTCCGTCTTCCTTCCTTTGCTTCCCATCCCATTATCTCAAGAGCTTGTATTTGTGAGACCATTTTGCAGATAAATAGAAAACGAGTGCAGGTTTCCAGGGATGGGAGAGGTTTTAGTCATCTCAGCACTGCTGCCACATTAGCAGCCTCTTGGCTGTGTAGTGTCCCTGAAGAAACCACTTGAAACTCTCCTGGACAAAAGAAGGTTGGGTCTGGGGTCTTTGTTTCTTTTCTTGTTTGTTTTGCTGGCACCGTTCTTGACTTTGAAGACTGGGTCCAAATGTCCCTGCTTCCCTGGACATCGATGGGGTTGGGACATCAGGGGACTGAACAGCTCCTTTGTTCTTGGTAGAGCAGGCTGTCCCCAAACAAAATTCTGGATTGGAAATTAGGAAGTCGCTCCCGCAGTGGAAAGCAGTTGCAGAAGAATAATTTTGGTGCACGTCTGGTTGGCAAGAAGGGGATGCCCTAGACCAGTTTGCCATCCAGTGGTTGCTGCACGAAGGTCCTACTTTGCAGATGCCACCACAGTGTCACTAACTCCACTGCACTCAATGCCACACTCGATGCCTTGAGGTTTAGGGGATGGAAACGCTTAATGTTTGCAACATTTTGGCGCGTTGGTGACGGGGACGTTCTGGCTTTGCAGGCTTGCGGAAGGTCATGGTCCGTGCCCATCGGCAGGCCTGGTGCTGGCAGGACGAGTGGTACGGGCTCACCATCGAGGATATCCGGCAGCTGGAGAAGGAGGCGCAGCTGATGCTGGCTCAGAAGATGGCCCAGTTCTGCAGCGAAAACGACAGCGAGCAGCACGGAGCCAAGGACGCTGCTGGCGAGAAGGATGTTGAAGCTGACGCCGTTTCGCCTGTTGACGCAGAGGATGTTGCTAGTAACAGCGAAACGGCGTCCGGGAGGTCCCTCACCAAGCAGTGGTCCACCTCTTCCAAGTCCTCACGCTCTTCAAAGAGAGGAGGTAAGCTGGGACACGGTGACTTGCTCCTCTGGGAGCTGGGGGGAGGTTGTGCGTTTTGGTGTTGCGAGCATGCCTGATGGCTGTCCTTGTGGGACAAGGCATTTTGCTCCAGCAAGACCCTTGTAATGCCCGTTCAAGAGGCCTTCTCTGGTGCTGGTGCAGGCTCCGTCTTCCCAGATGCCCTGTTGCAGGGGATGTGTTGAGCTGTCCACGGGTGTGACTCATGCTCTTTGGCTGTGGGGAAATGCTCCTACGTGCCGATCATGCCAAGCGCTGCCGTTAGGCTGCCTGGGTGCTGCAGTCCAGCTCGTGCAGCTCCATCCCCATCAGCTCCTGGGGACGAGGAGGAGTCACCACGCTCCAAAGAGAGCCGTGGCCAGGGGCTTCGCTGGTGGCTACCTGCTCTGGTTCTGCAGAAAGAGGGCTTGAGGTCTCAGCAGGTTCCCTCAGGTGCGGGAAGCTTTGCCATCCTTCATACACACGAAAGATTGCACATGGACTCGCAGCTTTTCCTTTTCCATTCCAGCACTGACTTCATCCCAGGGTGACCGGGAAATGAACAGCAGTTTTACCTTGCAGTGATTCAGTGGAGTGAGCCCCAGGGAAGAGCCTAGTAGTCACTTTATAAATAATTACATAAATATGAAAGCCCCAGGATCTTACAGTGCTGGGCCCAGGCTTTGTGGTGCCCTGGGCTGGGCAGCCCGTGGAAGCCTCCTTGGAAGCTGCCGTTTTCCCACCTTTCAGTATTTTACTTGGAGGTTTTCTCGGGTAGCGAAAGCTGAGTTTCTTTCGAATTGCAGATTGCTTCAGCTTTTAGAGAGGAGAAAAAAAAAAAACTAATGAAAGAAATGAATTGTGATGTGCTGGGAAGTACGTCACGCAGATATTTTAATCCTTCTTCGTGCTGGCTGTAAGAAATGGCAGCGCATTAGCATGCGGAGGCGAGCAGGGCTGCCCGGCCTCCCCGCAGCCGCGGCTCCCGGGGAGCTCAGCCTCTCGAAACCGCCCGAGCGAGACCTCTGCTGCTGGCAGGACCCTTGTCACCACCCCATATGTTATTTTACGCTCTATTTTTAGCATCCATTATGCGAGTGCCTTGACGTCAGCACAGCACCGAGGACGGGGCTCGGCTCCGCCAGCCTCCCCGCTCGCCGTCCCCGCGGGGCGGCCGGGGCCTCGCGAGCCCCGGCGCGGAGCTGCGGTTAGGTGACGGCGCAGCGTCCCCGGAGCCCTCCCACGTGCCAGCACGGAGTCACAAAAGCGTTTTTCTTGCATGCTGAATGCCGCGGCCACGCTAGCGTGAAGCCGCTTGTACAGCCGTCCTAGTAACCAGAGCCTTTCCGTGTCTTTCCGTATGCTAAGCGCGGGTTTGTGAGGCTCCGGGGGTTTTGCGGCGCGGGGCGGCTGCAGCGACGGCTCCGCGGCGCAGCCACGGTCCCGGGGAGCGGAGAGGCCGTCTCCCTCGGCAGCGCTCGCTCCAGCAGCCTCCGTGCGGCGACACGGTCAGCGAGAGGCGTTGAGGCTGGCCCGGGGCTGAGCCACAGCTGGCAAAACTAACGCTGTAAAACACTGCTGTGGCACAGGGAGCGGCGGGGGGGGCGGCGGAGTGGGAAGGAAGGGGCAGCAGGGAGGGCTGAGAGACGAGCAGGACCCCGAGGGCTTGCCAGGATCTTCCTCGCTGCCGCAGGACAGCTGCTGCCGCGGCTCCCGACGAAGCCGGGGAGAGCATGTTGTTTAAATCATTCAAGTTCCGAGCTTAAATAGATCTCTAATCCAATTTGTGTGGAAGCAATTTCCTTGCAGAAAACAGATTATTTCTGCCCAGGCTGCTCTGCTTAGCTGCCCGTCGGAAAGTTGCTGGAGCTGAGGCACGGTGGGTGCGCGGCTGCGAGCGCGCAGAGCTCCCCATCAGCCCTGCTAATTGCAAACTTTAAAACCCAGCTGACTTTGCACATCCTACTAACAATTATAAATAGCTGCCATTCAAAATAGCCTAAGAGTGATACAAACAGCTTGCTTTCATGTAACATCTCGCTGGCAGGTTATAACAACAGTAAACAAACAGGATCTCTAAAGCGGTACACTGACATCACACCCGCATCATCGGGGTTTTGTGTTTTAATATTGCAGCAGTGAATTTTTCATAGGGAGCGCACGACTCTTCCTCCAGCAAAGATCATGTTGGGAACTCTCTGTCTTGCCGGTTTAGCGTATCGCATAAGGCTTTTCTGCTTTCTCCAGCAAGTCCCTCACGCCATAGCATCTCGGAGTGGAGGATGCAGAGCATTGCCAGAGACTCGGATGACAGCTCGGACGATGAATTCTTCGATGCACATGGTATGTGGAAGCTGAACCACCAGCGTTTGCTTTCTGAAGCGGTGCGGGGAGAGAAAAGAAAGCCCGGGGTGGGGGAGATTTCTTGCTTTGTCTGAAATCTGCTCCTTTCTAACCGAGATATGTGCAGCCTGGGTGCAGCTTCTTCAGGCATTCCCAGCATCTCCCAGCACACCCTTAGATTTCACGCAGCGGTGTTCGGGGCTCAGGATGAACTGTCTGAAGTGATCTTAGTGTTTGGAGCTGTATTTTATTTGGTGCAAAGTGGTGGGTAAAATCCATCCATACGAACTGAACTGTGGGTGTGCCTGAATCCTTCAGATTCAGAATGACTGAATTCTTTTTTCTTCTTTTTTAAGATCAGTAAAAAGCATGATGAATTGCCCTGTCTGGGCCATAGGACACCCCCATTTGCCTTTATTAACTCCTTATTTTCCTGCTGCAAGAAATATGATAGTGCATGCAGGGAGGTACTTCAGGTGCCAAATCTCATCCGTATGGCTTGCAGAATTCCCAAAGGAATTCGACTTTGGGCTGGGCAAAAGCTCTGGTTTTATTTCCGTGCATATGCGTGTGGAGATGCTTTGTTTGCCTGCACTCATTTTGTATATTGTACTTGGCGTGTATTTAAGCCTGGAAGGCTCCATCTCTGCTGATGACAGATGGACTCCCCGCTCCGCTTGCAATGCTAATCTAGCCCGGTAGCCCAACACGTTTGGATGAAGTTGGTGACCTTTCTGTTCAATGAAGTTGTTAGAAGATCATGCCCCGTTTTTGTAAAGCAGAATTTTGC